TCAACCAAGAAAAGTTTTTTCGCATATTATGTGTGACAGACTAATTGGATCATTTTACAATGATCACAGCAAACCATAACAGCAGGAAGGGTAATCGATGTACTTAGGAGAAAGGATATTGGAAATGTTGGGTTTGGATCCACTGTGACAGTTAGGGTCCCAATTAAAAACAATCACGGTGATATAACATCGCACCCGGGGCGCCTGTAAAATGAGTTTGAGTTGTGTGTGCCAGTTAGCGAATTGGATCACGGTTCCTTCAAATCATGCGTATGATGGGGATTCCATCATGATATCGTCGAGGGCTCATCATAATTGCAATAATGTTCATATACGCACGCATAATATGAATCGCATCTCAGTCGAACATGAGACATTATTAAAACCAGATTGAGCAGGGAATGTGACGACTTTCAAGGTGTTGGTTAAAGAGAAGAATTTCGCTCCGCTTCTTGTAATTATTCTTTTAACGGGATAACGGGTGAACATCATTCCAAGGCAAACTTACGATCCATAAAAGTAGTTCCCTAATGCTTTTTTTCACCATGTGCCACCTAAAAAAAACAAAATACGTCTTCTCTGAGTACCGCCATCATGATCAACATTAAAACACATAAGCAGGTTTTATTCCTAAGAAGTAGTGATGGGCAAGTACCCATAACCGGTCTTATATATATATATATACACACACGGTATATATACAGTATATAAAAAGCATCGAGTACTCATGGAGCATGCCGATACCAGTCACCGGCAAAACAAAACAAAACAAAAAAACTGACATCAAGTACCTACTCTGAAAATTTGAGACTGTTGGGACTAAATTACTACAATTTGATGGAACAAATATTGCAATTTATTGTTTTATATGTATACGTAGGTCAGTGGTTGTGATGGATGGTGTGAGGAGGTCCTCGCTAGACTTGACAGTGATTTCCGATACGCTTGCACGTGTTGACCGTTTTCAGTTCAGATGAACACGGCTGCCATCTGTCGAGTGACTATTTGTGTTGATCCACCGAGGTTGGAATGTATCCCTCTTCCGGCTCCTGCGGGGAGCTTGAACGCAAACAAACCGTTCTATGATGGGCGCGTGCAAGTCCCTGTCATAATAAACATCAGCTTATTTCAAAGGTCTTGACATTTCGACGGCGCCGCGGAAACGGCGTAACGCCACAAGGGGGAACGTTGTCCTGTGATGAAGAAACTGCCGTGGTTAAGTTTCACTGAGAATGAATATGAATGCAAGGATTGCTTATGAGCGTCGCTGTTGTGATGTTGCGGCAGGAAGAGGATGGATGTGGAGATGAGCGTAGGAGGACGGACATGGGTGGGGACCACAACAACTCCTTGGAATCGCTCCGTCGTCTGACAATTACCACATGAAACTCAGGCGTTGCACCCAGATTGGCGGCCCAGTGGGCCAGTGGTTAGCGCGTCGACCTCACAGTGCAGAGGTCGTAGGTTCAATCCCTCCCTGTGTGGAGTTTGTTGCATGTTCTCCTCGGGCCTGCGTGGGTTTTCTCCGGGTACTCCGGGTTCCTCCCACACTCCAAAAACATGCATGGCAGGCTGATTGAACACTCTGAATTGTCCCCAGGTGTGAGTGTGAGCACGGATGGTTGTTCGTCTCTGTGTGCCCTGTGATTGGCTGGCAACCGGTTCAGGGTGTCCCCCGCCTACTGCCCGAAGACAGCTGGGATGGGCTCCAGCACCCACCGCAACCCGTGAAGATAAAGCGGCTCGGAAAATGAATGAATGAATGGACCCAGATTCAAGACAACTCTGTTCTGGATGTAGCAAAGCAGCCCCAGAATAGAACCTAGCCTCCTTTATGTAGCGCAGTAGGTATACAATGTACTTTACAGTAATCCCTCGTTTATCGCGGTTAACGGGGACCAAAACCACCCGCGGTAAACGAAAATCCGCGAAGTAGCGACCCCCCCTCTATGTAGGTACATGTACATAAAATTCATAAGGCCAAGTTTAATGGTATACATGCATGTAGAAGTAAATTTTGAAGTAATTAACATGACTTAATGCTGTAGATTTACTAATAGATTTAAACATGTATAAGTTAGGTTAGTTTATGAATAACAAAATACAGTAAACATATTAAAAGTTTTTTTTTTTTTAAAGTCCGCAAAAAGTCTGCAAACGGTCTGCGAGAAGCTGCGAAAGTCAGCAAAACAACAGCGAGTCACATAGAGCAACATATACAGTACTGTACTCCATGTATATGAAGATTGTTATTTTTATTTTATGAATATGTTTGAAAAAATCCGCGACGCACTGAAGCCGGGCGATAAACGAACCGCGAAATAGCGAGGGATCACTGTATTTTTATTTGGACTTGTTTATATTCCGGAGGCTACAATTGCAAGTGTGTCTCGAACCCGCGCAGCTACAATAACTATCAAGCGCTTCTCAGCTGCAGGTCACGGATCCCCCAGCAGGATGAAAACCCAAAACACATAACAAGAAACATTCAGTCATGGCTCAGACCAAAATATCAGAGTATTCCGAAGAACTCTGATCTAAATCGTATTGAACATGTGCGGAAGGAGTTAAGTACTTAATGTTGTGTTCTGTGTCGATATGATGGAGGGGGGTGGCCAATCTCAGCCTCTTCCATGCACGGGCCTCCTCCAGTGACGCAGTCCAATGGAGAGTAAGTGAGTGACAGCCGCCTTCATATACTCCCGACTCCCCGCTCCAAAGTCACTCGCAAGTCACACACGTTTATCAGTGGAGTCCACGCAGCAAAAGGGGAAAACATGCCCACCGACCAGAAGAAGCAGGCAGGCTCCAGCAGCAGCAGCAGCAGCAGCCGCGGCGGCGGCAGTTTGCCGAAGCTGAGTCGAGGAAGCGCGAGTGCAGTTGGTGTGGCCGGCGTCAGCCTCGCCACCCTCCTGGTTCTCGCCACGGTTCCTCTCATTCACAGTAAGATGGACTTTGAGACTCTAGCAAACTTTTCTTTTCATTTTGATGGCAAAGCAAAATGTGGTGCTTTGTTTCTTGACTTTTTTTTGTTTGTTTCTTTAATCTTCTGTGTGCTCTATAATTCCTTTTTAAAATAATTATTTCCTCATGTTATTAATATCTTATTATTTTATTTAGCGGAATTAAGTCATTCATTTTTAGAATTTTCCTCGATCTATGTCTATGTTTATTTCATAAGAAATGAATTACAATTAGCAAATACATCCATTTATAATGCGTGGTGTTTGGTGGGCTGAATGTTTCGGGAACGTCTGGACTAAACGACATTTTGAAAATGTATTGTTACTAGTTGTGTTTTTAATGTTGTCGTGTCGTAATTAATTTCATTTCACATGGATTTATTTAATTTCTGAATCACATTATTTTAGTTTTTCAAAATTTGGTGCTTTGTTTATTGACTTTTTTTTTTTCATTTGTTTCTTATATCTTCTGGGTGCTCTATAATTCCTTTTTAAAATCATTATTTCCTCATGTTATTGTTAATATCTTATTATTGTATTTAGCGGAATTAAGTCATTCATTTTTAGAATTTTCCTCGATCTATGTCTATGTTTATTTCATAAGAAATGAATTACAATTAGCAAATACATCCATTTATAATGCGTGGTGTTTGGTGGGCTGAATGTTTCGGGAACGTCTGGACTAAACGACATTTTGAAAATGTATTGTTACTAGTTGTGTTTTTAATGTTGTCGTGTCGTAATTAATTTCATTTCACATGGATTTATTTAATTTCTGAATCACATTATTTTAGTTTTTAACCTCATTGTGATTTTACAGCGAGTTCCATATGCTGCCCATTCGTCCAAGATTGATGGGCTCTTCCTCCATCCGTCCATCCAACAGATAACACCATCAATCCAGCAAATTGATAGCTCCATCAATCCATGGATAACAAAATCCATCGATCCACCGATTTGACAGCTTTATCCATCCATCCATCCATCCATCCATCCATCCATCGGAAAATTTATTGTTACTAGTTGTGTTTTTAATGTGGTCGTGTAATAATTAATTTCATGCCACATGTATTTATTTAATTTCTGAATCACATTATTTTAGTTTTTAACCTCATTGTGATTTTACAGCGTGTTCCATGCTGCCCATTCGTCCAAGACTGATGGGCTCTTCCTCCATCCGTCCATCCAACAGATAACACCATCAATCCGGCAAATAGATAGCTCCCTCAATCCATGGATAACAAAATCCATCCATCCATCCATCGATTTGACAGCTTTATCCATCCAATCACCCATCCATCCACCCATCCATCCACCCACCATCCATCCAGTTGGCAGCGTTATCCATCCATCCATCCATCCATCCATCCACCCATCCATCCATCCACCCACCCACCCATCCATCCATCCATCCATCCATCCATCCATCCGTCCATCTGTCCATCATCCATCCATTTGACAGCTTTATCCATCCATGCATCCATCCACCCATCCATCCATCCATTCATCCACCCATCAATTTAACAGATTTATCCACCCATCCATTCACCCATCCATCCATTTGACAGCATTATCCATCCATCCATCCATCCATCCATCCATCCATCCATCCATCCATCCATCCATCCATCCATCCATCCATCCATCCATCCATAACACCAGCAATCAAGCAAATATCCATCCATCCATTCATCCACCCATCCATCCATCCATTCATCCACCCATCAATTTAACAGATTTATCCACCCATCCATTCACCCATCCATCCACCCATCCATCCATTTGCCAGCTTTATCCATCCATCCATCCATCCATCCATCCGTCCATCTGTCCATCATCCATCCATTTGACAGCTTTATCCATCCATCCATCCATCCATCCATCCATCCATCCATCCATCCATCCATCCATAACACCAGCAATCCAGCAAAATGAAAAGAGCATCTTCCCATCCATCATCCAAACCCACATTCAATATATAAAATAGATAAAACCATCAATCCAGCAAATGGATAACACCATCCATCCATCCATCCATCTCAAACACAATCTTCTCTTTCGCTGTGGCTAATTGGCGAAAGACTGAATGATGGACCGCCACAATGTGACACTGGATTCAGCGGAATTCTGGACTATGGAATATTTCCATCCGTGGCGGGTAAACCTATGTCAGCACGATAAATGTGCGATTTCGAAAGAAAAGCTTTTACGGAGCTAATGGGCAACGGCGGCAATCATGTGGATAGCAATCTACAAAAACTCGGGAGAAGCTTCCGGCTTCTCGCCACGCATCTTCTGTTAGTCGATATGGGAGGCTGTTTAGAGTCAAGTTGCTTTTGTTTTTTTGCTAACTGAAGCATTTGTGTTGTGCTCGCACGAAAAGGTGCTCCGGTAGAACAATGGCAAGCCACCGTCGACCAGAGGCAGCTTCTCAGCCAGGTAACACCACTTTTTTTTTCTGTATCTATCTATTTATCCATCCATCCAATCGGTTGCACTTTCCATCAACCCGTCCAACAGATGGCACGATCTTTCCGTTCATCCACGTACAACATCTTTCCAGTCGATAGAATCATCAATGCATCCAACCACAATCCATCCGACAGGAAGCGCTCGCTCTCATCCACCCTCCGTTCTTTCAACACATAACATGGATCCATCCAACCAGTCAACTACCATCCATTCAGAAAGTGTCACTTCTGCAAGAAGTTATCCGACGTGCAGCACTATCTTGAACACTAAGGGGTCGATTTCGCGAACGGCGTAAATCCTGCGCGGTGAGCTGCATAAATGTCATTTCAAAGATGCCTTGCCGAGGCTGCTCCGTGTCGTCCAGAAATGCTCCATTCCGTGGTCCTCGCCCCTCACCGCTTATACAATAAATGAGTTTGACGACGGTGCGCTGTGCCCTGCTAAATGCAGTGTGAAAAGGGGGTCAGGTCGACTTTCTACCACCAATATGTCACTTCACCAGGCGCATCTCCAGGCCACTCTTCTATCACGCGGGTCTACCTAGCTTGACCAAGACTTGTCTGCTGAACTGACAAAAAAACGCCCGGCGAACCTTGTGATGATAAGACAATCAGGACCCACTCGCTATGAAAATAGAGCTCAATGTCTTCAACAATAAATCTAAAGCCAAAGAAAACTATCGTCTTTTCCAGGCATCTGACATCTTGGGGGAAATTTGCTTCTTAATGCTGGTCCAGAAGTCCAAGGTAGAAAAAAAGGGCACACATACATACATTATGTGTGTAGGTGTCTCTCTCTCTCTCTCTTTCTTTATTTGTTTGTTTGTTTTTCTTCCCCAGGAGCTGAAAGGACAAGAAAATAACAGAAAGGTGAGTGCATTTTGCAACTGTGTGTACCAAATACCAGTCGAAACCACACAATGGTATTTTTCTGGAAGAAGAAAAAAAATAATAATAATAATAATTAATTAAATACCCATCGTGATTCCCAGTGTTATTTACCCAAATATAGAAAATACACACAATGGTATTTTCCTGGAAGAAAAAAATAATCATAAAAATTAAATAATTAGTTAATTAAATACCCATGGTGATTCCCAGTGTTATTTACCCAAATATAGAAAATGGATGTTTCTCACAAGAGTTCTTGTTTTTGTGTCAACCAGGGCCCGGCATTGCAGCCATTCCTCCATTTGGTGTCCGGTCTGCATAACCGGCAACAGAGAGGACACTCAGTGCAATTAAGTACCACTGCTAAAAAAAATTTTTAAAAATAAAAAGAGTAACCACGACATATTCTCAGGTGTCTGTGACATGTGTTTGTCCAAACAGCAAATAGCTCTCTCTGCCTATTCCCAACACAATATGAAATGTCAGCGCTAACAAACAGCATCCACATGGCAGTGTTATAACCTTTTAAGAAATGGATTGCATATGTCGAGAGACAAAAAAGTTTGACAAGGTGAAGTCGGAAATAACGGATAAGCAAAGAATTACTGTATTACAATTTATTTTGCACATGCTACCTACTGGTGCTGTTTTGGTTAGCAACAGAATGATTTGGGGCTTAGGATGCACATTACCTTTTTTTTTTTTATTGTGTTGTTGCCACAGGCTGAAATGGAGGGACCTGGCGGAATCCAAAGCAGAGGCCACTACTTCCTCTATCGGGTAGGATAGAGAAATCTACCTGAAAAAGAAAAAAAAATCAAATCTGAAAAAGATGATTTTTTTTTTTTTTGCTGAAAAAGAAAAAAAATTAAATCTGAAAAAGATGATTTTTTTGGTTTGTTTGTTTTTATTTTTTGCAGCCTCGAAATGGAAGGAGAGCGTTAGAATACGAGTAGCCAAAAGGATAACGCTTGATCACTTGAGCCCTCAGCAGCCTCCTCACAATCGCTGCACCGGACCACCAAGTCGGCGACACACACAATTTACTGAATGTACATCAAGAAAGTGATTGTATGAAAAAAAAATGACTACTTTGTTCAGACTTTCTTTTGTGGGATATGTAAAATGTATATACAGTATACACGTCCTTTGCATTAAAAGTGCTATCAGATTTTCTTGTTTTTATTGTTAGTTATATTATGGGAAGACATATTAAATCTGATTTCAAAACATTTTTTTATCAATTAATGAATGCACCGAATCCAATTTTGATGAAAAAAATATATATATTATCCATTAAAAAAATTACGTGCTTATTAAAAATGTTATTTATTTGTTGAACCTTATTTATTTATTTTTGTATTTTAGTCACGCGTGACATGGGAATTTGCAAAAAGTGAATCAATTCGATTCTTCTTGTTTTTTGATATTTTTTGGGGGGTATTTAATTTTCATAGTTTGCGAAAACGTTCAACTATGCTATTAGGCTAACGTAATATTTAAACGTAAACTGAAATACAATGGTATTTAGTTTAAGTTAATGGGAAGATAAATTATCTTAATTTATTGACTTGTTTTCATTTCAAATTTATTTTTGAATCTATTTTTGTATTTACTCCACATAATTAAAATAAAGTAACAGCGTGTGAATGTGTGTAACACATTCAAATAATTGCCTAATTCACCAGTAATTCAAAAAATAAATTTTAAAAAATGCTGGAGTAAATACAAAAATAGATTCAAAAATAAATTTGAAATGAAAACAAGTCAATAAATTAAGATAATTTATCTTCCCATTAACTTAAACTAAATACCATTGTGTACACAGTGTACACAAGTTAAAATCAATTATTGTTTTCTTCCCATTTTATTGTTGCATTAAAAAAAAAATCACATTTTTTGCCTAATTCCTCATTCCCAGAAATGTATTTATTTTGAATAATTGCTTTTTATTTTTCAAAACAATGAATCAGAAAATAAACATTCTTGATCGCATTGCTTGCCAAAACCAGGATCTAAATGGAGGTCCACTTTCAACCGCTAGATGTCGCAATTACCCAACGCACAATCAGAACACCACTTCCTGTACGTACTACTACTCGTGAGGAAAAACTATTCATGAGAATTTTGGTGGTATTTATGGGGTTCAGGAGCCCGTGTGTGACAAATGCTTACTAGTTGGGTCCATTAATGTTATTAGTGTGGCACAGTAGTTTACTAAGAAGGTTTAATTGTGCTCTAGTGGGCCAAAAGTGATAAAACAACAACAGTTTCTTAGTTTGAGTGACATGGGAACTTTATTTGAAGCAAACATTTTTTTTTCTTTTTAACACAGGAGCATGAATGTGATGAGATAACCAGAAGTAATAAATGCTGTATGTGGTTAAAAAAACAAAAACAAAACCAAAGCAGGTAATGAACAAGCTTGTAACTGGTGGGTTATAAAAAAAAAAAAAAACAAAACAACAAAAAAAAAAAAACATTTTTTGCAGCACATTTGAATCATTTTTGGCAAATTTCATGAAGGATTGTCATTAGAGGAAATGTCTTTTTACAACACTACAAAAAGAGCAGATTCATCCTCACGTGTCATATAAAATAGCACTTCTTTCCCCTGTTAAATATTTACAAGATATATTTCACGACCTTCAATGCCGTAGCTAAAACTCCAATAGAGAGCACATTCTTTTCATAAAAATAGTTCATCCGGGGGCAAAATTGCATTATTCCCCAAGCTGTGGGTCGGGGGCCCGAAAACGGGCCATAGTTCAGTTTTAATCGGGTCGTGGCGTGCTTGTTGTAATAAGTTAAAAGAAGTATCAACAACTGGCGAAACATTGATGATATTGGCCATTGGGTGAGATCTCAGAATTAATCTAAACAGCTATTTTGCTGCTCATCTTCTTGCTAGAGAACAGCAAATTGCTTTGAGAAGGTCACATCAAGCTCAGCTGTTAAGGTCAAAGGGCATTTCACGTTCATTTTGAAATTCCCCCCGAAGACCCAATATGCCCGACTTTTTCTGAGTAGTGTATGGCAATGGACTCTTGAACTGATTGAGTTGAAACAGTTTGGGGAAACCCTGGCAGTCAGTGATGCTGCGATGACACTTCCGAGCCACACGTGGGCGCCGTTGCAGCCTTCAGTGCAAACTTTCAGGGGGTTCAGTCCAGTTCGCCACCCTCACCCCCTGGTGGCTTTAAGCAGCTGCTGCGGCTGCGGGACCGTGTGACTGGTCTCAGTGTCCGTTCAGTGGGCGTGCGGCTGTTGTTTCTGCTGGTTGGCGGATGCGGAGGCGGTGGCGGCGAACGCTCCTGCCTGCTGTAATGGGAAGGTCCCCGCCGGCAGGATCAACTGACTTCCAGGAAGCATCCGTGGAGCCTTCGGCGTCAAGCCACATACTTGTGTTACTTTTTATCCACATGACATGGATCATTTGATGGCAAAGATGGAAGTTGTTTGATTAAGGCCAGGGGGGAAAAGTGACCCCGTAAATACTGCAACCACAAATGCTCATAAAATTGAAATATTTCTCAGTCACGTTTTTTGGTCACATTTTGTTTTTGCCATAAATAATAATAAATTGTGAAAATGAATGATTGATTTTTATTTTAAAAATTTTGATTAAAGTAAATTTAATGTAAATGTTCAATACATCCATTTTCATTTATTTGAAAATGCTCATAATATTTAAATATTTCTTGGTCACTTTTTTTGGTCACATTTTGTTTTTGCCATAAATAATAATAAATTGTGAAAATGAATGATTGATTTTTATTTTAAAAATTTTGATTAAAGTAAATTTAATGTAAATGTTCAATACATCCATTTTCATTTATTTGAAAATGCTCATAATATTTAAATATTTCTTGGTCACTTTTTTTGGTCACATTTTGTTTTTGCCATAAATAATAATAAATTGTGAAAATGAATGACTGATTTTTTTTTTAAAGATTTTTATTAGAGTAAAAGAAAAATTTTAAACGTTCTTTCGCTGTACTTTATGAATTTGTATTTTTTTATACATTACATGAAAAATTTTAAGGGTATTATTTTAAAGTAAAAATAATTTTTACTTTTTTTTCAACATTGTTTAATTCATTCAAATATATTTTGGAATTACACATTTTCTTGAAAATGTAAAAAAAAATCCTTAAATTAAGAAATTATTATCCTTTTCCTTAAAAACTTAATAAGTACAAAGTACTTTAAACATTTTTTCCAATATCAAAAAATGTCATTATTAGATTATTCAAACATATTTTTAATATACATTTGAACAACTTATAATTAAAAACAATTCTTGATTAATTAAAAAAAAACAATTAAGTAAACACAATATTTTAAAAGCTGGACTTTCAACGGTGGAATTAATTGTTAACTGCAAACATAACCAAACACTGAAAATATCAGAAATTAAAAAAAAATATATATATATATATATATTAATAATAATAATAAAATGTCAAGTGCTGGATCCCGATTACTCGCTGTGTACCTGGTGCTCATGCTGCTGCTGCTGCGCCGGCTGCTGGGCGATGCTGATGGTCTGCGTGGGGACCGGCTGTGGGGCGAACGCCGTCACCACTTGGCCCATGAACATGGTGGACGGCACCATGACCGCCCCGCACGCCATCTGGCCCGTCACCAGCTTGGTAAGTAGCTGGCGGGTGGCCGGAAACCTTCCCCGGGAAAAGAGGAACATTCCATCATGTTGCTCGGTTGTCCAACAGTGCACACTTTTGCCAAAGTTGGCCTACTAGCGTGCAGAAATGTCAGAGTATTCCATTGAAGATTACCCGTACCTGAAATACTCTTTACAAAGGAAGGAGATGCAAACCTAATTTGGGCGTTGCGGTCCTGCGTGAAAGTGGCGACAGCGGGAGCGTTGGCGGCCGTGTTTGGCGGCAGGCTGCTGGCGATTTGGAGCACGTTGGTGGCATTTTGTTGCGGGATCATCACTGTGTTGAACAGAGACGCCGCCAGTGAAGGCTGCAGAGGAAACCAACGTTGAGATTCAGGGGCGGGGAGGGGTGCTCGAGTCGCCGATACTAAATGCAAAGTGGCTAACGTACGAACATTGTCTTGTGACTGTGAATCAGAATCACTTGTATTCATCATTAATTCGCATCAAGTAGACAGTAGGCATGAGCCAATTACCGGTTAAAGGGGTTTTAAAAATCCAGGTTTCAATAACCGCTAATACTGTGTCACCGCTAATGAGCTGTGGGGACGAAGAAGGGCAGAATATGATTGGCAGCGAGTAGAGTTAAGTAAACGAGCCGCTTATTTGAAGTTGATTGGGGCCAGTTGCTTTTTTTTTTTTTTCCTCCTCGGTGAGCAGAAAGGGGAGGGGCAAACAGTTACACACGGAGGAGGAGGGAGGGAGCAAGACAAGAGACACTGCAAACA